AACAAAATAATTAATTATTATCTTTATAGAAAAATTATAGTATTAAACCAAAAAAAATGAGTTAAAGAAATACAAAAAAAATAATTAGTTTGGTACTAATATTAATATTTTTTTCAATTTTTTATGCATCTTCGTATTTATATTTTATTCAAAAATAAAAACATTATCGTTTTCTCAAAACCACATAAAACCATATTATAACATCAACTGAAACAAAAAAACGAAACACTAAAATCGAGATGTATCTCGCTGCATTGTGCGAATACCCTTCTAGTAATATCTAATATATGAATGTATACTATATCTATAATAGTATATACACTACTAAATGAAAGATTTTTGCCTACGGTCTTTTCCCTGAGAATTCTGTTGTTAAAAGGTGATTCGTCACAAAATCGTCACAAAAGTTGATGGATAAATTAAATGTGACAAATTATCTATATATTCTCTGGGTGATCCATTGGTATTTTCTTGAAAAATATTGAATTCTACCAAACTATTGGTATTTTTTAGGTAAAATTATTGTGTTAACTTTGTTAACCAAGCTCAACCAATGAAAATCAATCTTTTTTTAGGTTCACATACATCTCATATGTTAATGATAAGGATAATTAAGTAATTTTACCATTTTGTGTAACTCCCATATCATTAATTGGGAGTTACAAAATATAAAAATCCCATAATTGATGATGATTTAATATTGATCTTGTTTTTCAATTTGTGATTATTTTTGAAATTTGATTTATCTATCTATAATGTTATTGAATTTGTGATTGTTAAAGGATTTTCAATAAAGTTTTCGATATCGTCCAAGCTAATATGGATAAACTCATTGGAAAACAGATCGACAACAATGAGAATAAGAAGATTTTCGAGTTCCGGAAGTGAAGACAATGATCAAAGCGTTTGTATTGGTAATAGATTAATATGACTAGAAGCGTACTCGCACAATGCAGCGAGATACATCGTGATTTTAATATTTCATTTTATTCTTTATCTCAATCGATGTTATAATATGGCTTTATGTGATTTTGAGAAAGCAATGACAAAAATATATCGATATTCGTATCAAATTAACTATTTAAAATTCCTATTTTTTTGTAATTTTTTAATTCAATTTTTTATTATAATTTAATTTAGGTACAATAACGAAGTAATTTATATTTGGTTTAATAATATAATTTTCGTACAAAAGTAATAATTAATTATTTTTTTAGTAACTCGATAATTATCCTAATTATATTTTAGATTTTGTATATTTTAAAATAAGATGTTATCCTCTATTTGATTATATTTATCCGCAATTAGTTATTTGAATTCAAAAATCGAGTTTTGATAATTTGTACTTTTGCATAATTTACTTGTAATCTTAAATTTTAAGTAAACATTGGTTTTATGTGGTTTTGAGAAAGTGGTAATATTTTTATTTTTGAA